TAACAATTAATATCATGTTATTTATTCCATGTTAACGTCTTTTAAGTAATTCTGAGGTAATTCCATGCAGGTATTACCAGGTTCATGTCATGCTAGTAATACCAGGTTAATGCGATAAGTAATAATATGTTAATGCCATGTTAGTAATACCAGGTTAATGTCATGTTAACAATACCAGGTTAATGTCATGTTAACAATACCAGGTTAATGTCATGTTAACAGTACCAGATTAATGTCATGTTAGTAATACCAGGATAATGTCATGTTAGTAATACCAGGTTAATGTCATGTTAGTAATACCAGGTTAATGTCATGTTAACAATACCAGGTTAATGGTATGTTAGAAATACCAGGTTAATGTCATGTTAGTAATACCAGATTAATGTCATGTTAGCAATACCAGGTTAATATTATGTTAGTAATACCAGGTTAATGTCATGCTAGTAATACCAGGTTAATGTAATGTTAGTAATACCAGGTTAATGCCATGTTAACAATACCAGGTTAATGCGATAAGTAATAGCAGGTTAATGTCATATTAACAATACCAGCTTAATGCGATAAGTAATAGCAGGTTAATGTCATGTTCACAATACCAGGTTAATGCGATAACTAATAGCAGGTTAATGTCATGTTCACAATACCAGGTTAATACTTATCGCATTAACCTGGTATTACTAGCATGACATTAACCTGGTAATACCAGGTTAATGTAATGTTAGTAATACCAGGTTAATGGCATGTTAACAATACCAGGTTAATGCGATAAGTATTAGCAGGTTAATGTCATGTTAACAATACCAGGAAAATGCGATAAGTAATAGCAGGTTCATGTCATGTTCACAATACCAGGTTAATTTGATAAGTAATAGCAGGTTTATGTCATGTTCACAATACCAGGTTAATTTGATAAGTAATAGCAGGTTTATGTCATGTTCACAATACCAGGTTAATGCGATAAGTAATAGCATGTTAATGTCATGTTAACAATACCAGGAAAATGCGATAAGTAATAGCAGGTTAACGTCATGTTCACAATACCAGGTTAATGCGATAAGTAATAGCCGGTTAATCTCATGTTAGCAATACCAGGTTAATGTCATGTTAGTAATCCCAGTTTCATGGCATGTTACCAATACCAGGTTAATTTCATGTTAGTAATCCCAGTTTAATTGCATGTTAACAATATCAGGTTAATGCGATAAGTAATAGCATGTTAATGTCATATTAACAATACCAGCTTAATGCGATAAGTAATAGCAGGTTAATGGTATGTTAATAATACCAGGTTAATGCGATAAGTAATAGCAGGTTAATGTCATGTTAGCAATACCAGGTTAATGTCATGTTAGTAATACCAGTTTAATGGTATGTTAATAATACCAGGTTAATGCGATAAGTAATAGCAGTTTAATGGTATGTTAATAATACCAGGTTAATGCGATAAGTAATACCAGTTTAATGTCATGTTAATAATACCAGGTTAATGCGATAAGTAATAGCAGTTTAATGGCATGTTAACAATACCAGGTTAATGTCATGTTAGTCATACCAAACTGTACAATGCAATAAGCGTATAACACAAGAAGAGAAATACAACAGCGATACTCCAAAAGGAAAGTGTTCAATACACGTGAAAACAACAACTGGTGCGCTAATAATATGTAATACGAGAATGTACAACACGAAGTAATTACAAGTGATGATGCACAAATAGCACAACTGAGGCTGCAATTGTACAACAAAGATATACAACAGTTGATACAATCATAGGAAGACGTACAACATACATAAAAAACAGTTGTTGCCCCAAAAGTAAATTGTACCTCACAAATACAACAACTGATGCGCTTATGTGAAGTTGCATGACACAAATATAACAACTGATGAGCTTAGGTGAAATTGCACGATACAAATACAACAATTGATGTGCTTATATATAACTGCACGAGACAAATACAACAACTAATGCGCTTATATGAAATTGCACGATACAAGAACAACAACTGATGCGCTTGAATGGAAATGCACGAAACAAATACAACAACTGATGCGCTTATATATAACTGCACGAGACAAGTACAACAACTGATGCGCTTATATGGAGTTGCACGAGAAAAGTACAACAACTAATACGCTAATAAGAAAATGTAGGCAAACACAACAGTTGATGTACCAATAGGAAAGTGTTAACATGTGTAGACAAATGCCCAAGATTTTCTGTGCAAACATCGGCACACACCAGTGAATCGTCAATAGGAAAGTGAACAACACACAGTTGTCGTGCCAATAGGAATGTGTAAAACACATGTAGACAAACAAGAGATTTGTAGCGGTGTAATTGTACTGCACATTTAGGCAAGCACACCATGTGTGTCATGCACTACGAGGTAAATAAATAGAACACTTGAGTGAAGGCGTGTAACACTGATAGCACTATCGATTGAAGAGTGACTTCACTACCTGTACACAATTAAGTCAATTGGTTGTCGATGCAATTTGTAACTGTGGCAATTGGCAATTTCAAACGGCACCACGATTACAGATATTTAGTATTTCATTCCGAAGAAATAAGAGCATTGTGCTGAAAGGTGATTTATAAACATGGCGCATATTAAACACCGTCAGCACAGCAGTGACTACCAATTCCCCGTTTTTAGCTCACCTGGCACGAAGTGCCAAGTGAGCTTATGCCGTGGCGCGGCGTCCGTCGTCCGTCCGTCCGTCGTCCGTCGTCCGGCGTCAATATTTTACTTTAAACGACTTCTTCTTAATAACCGAAAGGCCTAGGGTGTCGATATTTGGCCAGAAGCAAACTTGGATGAAGGGCTACAAAGTTTGGTAAAATTAATGACCTTCACCTATTTTCAAGGTCACAGGGGTCAAATATGTCAAAAACTTTAAACATCTTCTTCTCAATAACCAAAATGCCCAGGGAGTTGATATTTGGCCAGTAGCATGCTTGGGTGAAGGGCTACCAAGTTTGTTCAAATGAATGACCTTCAATTATATTCAAGGTCACAGGGGTCAATTGTATTAAAAAACCTTTAAACAACTTCTTCT